GTTGTTTCCGTCAAACAATGGTGGCATATTTGTGACTTGTCCTTCAACTAAGGTTGCCATGGATCGAAACTCCTAAATGATTAAATCTAAAACAAGAGTCTAAGCTCTTATGCCAATTGTTACCCAAAAGACAACCTAAGAGGGGGGTGAATTAGGTTTTTACAAATAAAAATAATAATACCCTAATAAAAATTATGACTAGTATAATAGATAAATATAGTTAATGAAATAAAATAATTAAAACAAGTGTTCTAACAACTATGTCAATTAATGATTTTAGCACAATAAAAATATGAAATATAGTTATGACAATTTAAATAAAATAAAGAGATAACGGAGAGAGAGGCGAACAAATTTATAGTGGTTCGGCTTCAATTTAGCCTACGTCCACTCCTCAAGTTTTACTTGAGATTTTCCACTATACTCTAGCTTCACAAGGTGCTAGTAACTTTTTTACAGATGGAGCAATCCTCCACAGATTTTACACAGACTTTCTAAGTTAAGAATACTGAGTGTACTACACTTTTACAAGGTTGAAAAGAAGGAGTTTTTGCTTTCATAGAAAACTACAAGAATTATATCCCAAAGATAGATATAAAAATGAAGTTCGAATTTTTCTGTAAACCTCACATAGGAGCGATGGGCTTAAAGTTATACGTCTCAATGTATAATTTCTGAAAGAGGATGTAAACAAAAATTGAAGAACACTTCTCAGAGAATTTTTCAGAGAATAGATGTGAGTGATTATAGATCAAAAAATATTTTCTGATATTTTTTTTTATAACTTGTTTATATTAGAGATCTTGGTATATATAATGAAACTTACAGCCGTTTATAGTCGTTGTATTCATTTGAATTTATAACCGTTTATAGCCGTTGTATTCATTTGAATTTATGGCCGTTTATAACCGTTGTATTCATTTGAATATCTTGTACTCCATCATTACTAATTTGAATATCTTCCACTTGAACCTTTTGGCCTGCTGTTGTGCTGCGCTGTTTGAACATTTTGGTCTGCTGCTGTGCTGGGTTGTTTGAACCTTTTGGCGTGCTGTTGTGCTGGGCTGTTTGTGGTTTGGACATTATTTTTGGGTTGAAATGAATTACTGATTTAAGAAAATATTAAATACATTCAAACAATATTTAGGATAAAAGTTTAGGTGATAAATAATAGGACAAAATAAATTTTGATTCTATTTTTCTCTTTCAAAAAAATTAAAATATAATTAAATAAATCATCAAAATAAATTTTGGATTCTATTTTTCTCTTTTAAATAAATTAAAACATAATTAAAAAAATAACAAAATAAATTAGTCTAACACTTATATAAGTATAAAATTTTATTTACGAGAGACGACATTTAAAAAAATTAAATATAATTGTCATATTTTTAATAAATAATATATTATTTTATCTCGTACATAGCACGGGTAATATGTTAGTATAATAATAAAATCAACTGAATTATTAATGATTGTTTTGGATATGGTTTATGAATTGATTTTTTTACTTATTATGAAAAGACGTGAAAAAAATATAAAGGTGATGTCATCCTAATAAATCAATAAATTGGTTTTTTTTCGATGTTACCAAAAGAGACATAATTAAAATATATTTATGATATCATTAAAAATGTTAATTTACTTGATTATTTCTTAATAAAATGAGTCATTTGTTATAAAATTATAAATTTTAAAGGCAAGTTGTAATTTCTAAAACTATAGAAGCTATTCATATTTTAAATAAATCTCAGAGAGTGTATTTATAATTTACTTTTTATTTTTTATATTCAACAATATATAATAAAATAAATGATTAACGGACAGATAGATATTTTAAGGGAATAGCTTTCCTCTAGTCCGTAATCAGTCTGAGTACGAAACTCTATGGCACTTTTTGCATCTATTCTCTTCTTCCTCCTGCTGCTCTCTCTCTCTCTCTCTCTCCCCCTTGTCATTTTATCAAAAAGGTGTATCATTTTTGTGGACCTAAACCTCATTATATTTGGTCTAGTGCTTAGTGGCTTGTAGTTGGTGCCTTCTGCATCAGTTTTATTGTAGTACAACTATATATGAATCTGCTTTGTAGTTATTCACTGGAGGTAGATAGATTAAATCTGCTATTCTGCTGTACATGCTTGATCTATAAATAGAAATTTGGGTTCATCTGGACATATGTGCATTAATTAAATGAGACTAACATTTTCAGTTAATACAAAAACTGTTATTTTTTTAATTATGTTTTAATTTATTTAAAAGAGAAAAATAGAATCCAAAATTTATTTTGATGATTTATTTAATTATATTTTAATTTTTTTGAAAGAGAAAAATAGTATAATGGTAACTTGCATTATCTTATTGGTGGAACACTACAAATACCTATCAAAATATACTTTTAACCATCTTAAACTTTATTTTTTATTGAATTATTTATCCACTAAAATTATAAACAAAATATAGTATTAAATTTAATAGATTTTTGCAATCTAAAAAATTAAAGAAGTAATGAAAATAATTAAATTTTAATCTTAAATTAAAAACTATGAAGAAAAACAAAAGAATTGAAATCATGTTTAATATGATAGAATTTTCATTTCAAAACATAATATTTCCGATTTTCAAGCCAAGTATGTACATACATATTTTGGATTTTGTAAAACAAAATAAAACATGATAGATTAAATTTTGAGATTACAATTTTCTGCAATCCTTATAGTCAAAATACAAAATCTCAAATGCTTGGAATAAAAAATAAATTATTAAAGAAAAAGAAAAAGAAAAACCGAGACTTGCATTTGATGGCGGATTGCGGACTGCTGGCATTTGCTACTGAAGGAAGTTGATGAAGTATATGTATTTGCAGTAGTGGATTGTTAGAAGTAATGGTTTAAGGGGATATGGATAGATGGATTGTTTTATATATATATATATATATATTTTGTGTACAAATCTTGGAAATTGTCAAATATAATGTAAAAAAAAGATTTTAGGGTATAAGTGTATATATAAATATATAATGGTTATAATGATGTCGAGGAAATTATGAAAAAATAAAGTTTAAGATGGTTAAAAGTATATTTTGATAGGTATTTGTAGTGTTCTACCAATAAGATAATGCAAGTTACCATTATATTAACGATACATGTTAGTTTTATTTTTATTTTATGTTATGAAAAATAAAATCAATAATTTTACACATAATACAACTAAATTTATTTTGGGTGGAGTAAGGGGAAATTAATTAATTTTATGTATATTATAAAATCATAACAAGTATTAAGTTATTTGTGCATTAAACTCATAATTTTTTTAATTTTTTTTTATATAATTTTACACAACTTTTAAATTTACAAATAATACTCTATTTGGTTTGGAATTTTCAAAAACAGTTTTTTGAGTTTTCAATTCGTATTTTTATATTTTTAGATCCACTTAATCTTGATATACTTAAAAGGTATAAAATTTGTGCAAAAATCTTTAAAAGATTTATTGAATACAACAAAATACGAAATTGTATTGAATTTTCTTATTATTTATTTATTTTTATTTTTTTTGGTGAATTTTTTTACAAAAAAAATTATATAAATATTATACTTTTTTAGTGTATCTAGATTAGGTATGTCTAAATTTTTTTAAAAAACTATGTAAAATATTAAAAAAATTACTAAAAAATAAAAACTTAATTTTCTAAAAAGTGAGTTAAATCAAAAGTTTTATATAAGAGAAACAAAATGATTAAAAAAAATGAGTATAATATATATGGACAAAAAATATTTATCCCGTGCATGGCACAGGTGAATGCTCGTTTTGAAAGAAGAGAAAGGATAATGTTGTGTGTTGTATATAATAGGTAAGTTTTGTTATTTGTGAGTTCTCTTATAATAAATGATATAATTTAATATTATAAGAGTCATAACTCAAAAAATGAGTTGTAATCAAATATGAAATTAGATTTAATCAAATAACTTATGGATCATAATCAAAATAATGTTATATTTAATATTATAATGTATCTTAATTGATAATATAATAAGTTATAACTAAAGAATCAAAAATCATAATTAAAAGTGCATATAGAAAGTACGTACCATAGAATTTCTTGAATGCAAAAAAAAAATAAAAAAATAAAAATTGCATCAAAACGATATTATTTTAAGACGTTTCGGAGTCCTCTGCATTTGGATTTTTATTTTAAGACGCTTCAGAGTTCACTCCAGTAATACAAAGGATCTGGATTTTTATTTTTTTATTTTTTTTAAGATCGGAAAAAGATCTTCATTCACATCACACCTGACAACAATTATGTGTTGGCACAAAACATGGTTTATAAGCCGAACTTATATATTGTTATATTTTTTTATTTTTTGGGGGGGTGGGCCGCGGTGTTACTCCAGACGTGATGGGCCATGAAAATGAAGAATAAGAGACAAAAAAGCCCAAATATGAATGGAGTTTTAAGCCCATGAGAACTTTTTTGGTGCAGGCTTAAGTGGCACCACTTGTGGGATTGATTTGACATAATCCTCGTTTGTAAGTGGATTGGGTTTAGATTGGAATTAAAAAAATACAAAGAAATCAAACAAATTAAAAAGATAAAGGGGCATGCACCAATAAATTCCAAATTTGTATCTTGTAACCCATTTGGTCCTATGAATTTTCTTATGAACCGTTAGGTCCTATCCCAATGTTAGTGACCTTTGAACATCATCGACATCAAACATTATCCATCACTGTGATATAATATCACAACATCATCATTATGAAAACATCATCATTAGACTGAAAGGTACCATTAACATCAAATATCACAACATCATTATCAAAACAATATCAAACATCAAACATCATCAAAATAGATCCACATTAGCAAAACAGAACAACATTAACATCATCAAAACAAATCAAACAGCAAACATTAACATTAACATTAACGTCATCAAAAACATATCAACATTAACATCATCAAAACAGATCAAACATCATCAACACAGTCATGTTCTTCACTCAAATCAGATTGAATATCGGATCTGTGATGTTCTTCAATACATTGATGTTCTTGAATGTTGGATCTGTGATGTTCTTCAACATAGTGATGTTCTTGAATGTTCTTGAATATCGGATGTGTGATATTCGATCGAAATCATCAACACAGTGATGTTCTTCCCTCAAATCCCTCAAATCGAATCCATCATCAAATTCATTAGAACATCAGATTCATCAATCGAACACCAACACCATCGCCTCTGTTTTATCCATCCATCAACATTATGTATATATATAATCAATCCCTACTATCTCTTCCCTGCTTTTTCTCTTCTCTTCTCTGCAATGTGTATATATATCCGACCACCAACAATGGCGGCTCCGCCATCATCAACAACACCATCAGGATCTTGACGAAACCCTTCCAATGTAAGATAAAGCTTCATCAGGATCGATGTTTCGATCATCATCCGGGTAAGGAGGATAAGCCTCTCATTCTTCAAGATCAGTCTTGTCCATCTCCACCCAGCCCTAAGCCCAATCTCAGTCCAAAAAAAAAAAATCCGACCTTTCCAATCCGCAGTTCCCTCTCTCAGATCCGATCGAATTCTCTGCAAATTCCAAACCCTTGAAACAACAAAACAACAACAATGGCTTCAACCTTCAGCAGCGATGAAACGGCACCGTTCTTCGGCTTCCTCGGCGCTGCATCTGCCCTAGTTTTCTCCTGTAACACCACCAACTCTCAATCTCCCTTGTCCGATTTCAATTTGAACTTGATCTTCTTCTTCTTGTTCTTGTTCTTCTTTTTGTTTTTGGATCTGCAATTCTTATATATGGATATGTTTTTTAGGTATGGGGGCTGCGTATGGGACAGCGAAGAGTGGCGTTGCAGTGGCGTCAATGGGTGTGATGAGACCAGAGCTTGTGATGAAGTCGATTGTTCCAGTGGTTATGGCTGGTGTGTTGGGTATCTACGGATTGATTATTACTGTGATCATCTTTCTAAGGTAGAGAAAGGGATGATGATGTTGTGAAGTTGTTTTGATGATGATGCTGTTTTGATGATAATGTTGTGATGTAAAAAGAGGACTAAATGGTGCATAAAAAAACTTATAGGACTAAATGGTTTAACTTTCTACTATATAGGATTTATTGGTAATTTTTCCAAAGATAAAATGATATATTTAAATTATAATTATTTTATTTTATTTTTTTATAAAAAGTTGTTGGTGCAGGCTTAAGTGGCACCACTTGTGGGATTGATTTGACATAATCCTCGTTTGTAAGTGGATTGGGTTTAGATTGGAATTAAAAAAATACAAAGAAATCAAACAAATTAAAAAGATAAAATGATATATTTAAATTATAATTATTTTATTTTTATTTTTTTTATAAAAAGTTGGAAATTCAAAAAAATACAAAAAAATTATTTTTAAACAGAACTATTTTAGCTAAGCTAAATTAATAAAAAAAAATTCAAAAAACAAAGTTAAAAAACTCTTTTCAAACCAATCCATAGTTAGTTGGATTTTGATTATTGAATTTGGAAACCAATGTGGACTTGAGGGTCCAATTTGGTCCTAGCTTAGGGTTTTCACTTTACAAGCTCTAATCAAATATTATGATGATAAGTATGTTGAGAGTGGACTTTATTAGTGGAAAAGTTGTGGAATGATATAATGTCAAAAAATCTTAATTAAAGGTAAAAAGCCCATTAGCAATTGGTTATCATTGATACCTTCTACCTTTGAAAGTTCCCATTTGGATTTTGTTAAACTTATTAGTCAGTAATATTCGTTATTCAAAAGAAAAAAGAAAGAAAAGTAAATGGGGATTTACGAGTAAATCCTATTAAATAAATTTATTATTTAATAGGTCCTATGATAATTAATAATATTTTTGATCATATATTATTAAAAAAGTTATTAATTGTTAATTTGCAGCGATAGTTTAAAAATTTTATCATAAAAAATGTCACTAATTATAAGTTTTAGCGATAGTTTAAAAAAAATTGTCACAAAAAAATCACTAATTTTCAACTTTTAGCGACAGTTTGCAAAATACGTTATAGAAAAACGTCACTAATTATAAATTTTAGCGATAATTTATAAAAATTGTGACCAAAAAAGTTATTATTTTTAGTAACATATATAAAAAACCGACACAAAAAATTATTTTAGTGACGATTGTATTAAGAATTATTTTTAATAAAATTTAATGATAATTAAATTCAATATTAAAACATATTGATAATTTACCAAAAGTGTGAAGACAAATAAAGACCCTTGTGACTTTTGTCAAAATTGCATGATGGATATAAATGGATACCTAACTTAATTCGCTCCCATATCTTTATGCAAGAGTTTAAAAAAATATATTTTTATTTTGTGTTAGAAATTTTACTATCGGGTGCCTCTATCTTTATAAAATAAATATATATATATATAAAAAACTTATTAAAAAACATACCCAAAAACCCAACCTTTTAGCTGTCATTATATTATTTTATTTTATTTTATTTTATTTTTTTTTTTTGGGGGGGTTGGTGTTCTTTAATGGACATTTTAAATTTTCTTTTCTTTTCAAAATCATCTAGTCTAATAGGGTCTGAGATTGTAGAGTTTGTTCATAATTTAAATTGATCGTCTTGTCAATGTTGTGTTGATCATTAATAGAAAAAAAAAAATTTTAAAAATCAATATGATAATCTTAATTACAGGACTTTATTATATTTGTTCTAAAAAAAAATAAACTATCAATTCCAAAAGCATATTTGTCATATATTATTCTATCAATAAATGTAATAAAATCATATTATTACAATTATCGAATACATCTAAATTTTGATATAAATAATCTACACAAAGAAACTGACTAAATAAATAATTTAGGTCACTGAAATGAGATCGGTCATGAATCTCATAAAACCAATTGCAACATGCAATTCATTTAATGTTGTGTTTGGTTGAGGGATTTGAGAAGGGATTTGGAAAGGGAAATGGAAAAGGTAGGTGAAATATGAATAAAACATGCCTAAATTTCACCTAGTTTCACACATCTTTTCCCTTTCCCTTTCCAAATTCCTCCCCAAATCCTCCAACCAAACACCTTTCCCTTTCCAAATCCCTCTCTAAATCCTCCAACCAAACACACCATTAAGGGGGCCAGATGTTCAATAATCTTGTGCAAAAGCATTCATGTGAGAAGGGATTTGGAAAGGGAAATGGAAAAGGTAGGTGAAATATGAATAAAACATGCCTAAATTTCACCTAGTTTCACACATCTTTTCCCTTTCCCTTTCCAAATCCCTCCCCAAATCCTCCAACCAAACACACCATGAAGGGGGCCAGATGTTCAATAATCTTGTGCAAAAGCATTCATGTGTTTAATTTACTTTGTGCTTTGATAAATGACAGTGTCTTCTTATAATATGATTCATGTTTCACTCTTATGCTTAAAGTTTAAATTTTCTTAATTAAGCCATTAAAATATTGTTGACGACGAACCCATCCCAACCAATATGTTCATGTTTTTTAGTAACTAAACATTGATATATTTGATTGTGTTAGGGTGAAATAAGCCTTTTAAAATTGTAATTGTCAATTCGATAGAGGGTCAAAATGTAATTTTATTACCGTAGAATTATGGGGTCAGGTTGGGTCCAGGTTAGGTTAGTTTCATGTAATTTTTTTTGTTTTTTTGTTTTTTTTGGAGGGTACCCATCTGGATGACAATAAACATTTCATAATATATTACACTAATTTATATAATATTTATATATTTATAAATATATATATATAAAACATAAACTAATTTTACATAATTATTTTCCTATGCATAACTACTAATTTGTAATAAATTTTATATATTAAATTTTTTTCATACTTATTTTTATTTTGATATTTCATTTAAGTTACAAAATATATATGTATTAATTATAACAGAGCGGTTTCAAAGACAATTTATAAATTTTAAAATTTAAATTGTAATTAGTAGATAGAACGATGTAAATTGATGTGGATCAATATAATTTTAGTAAATTAGTCGATATTTTACATAGTTCTAATATTACTTGTTCAGTTGATTTTAAAAGGCCATATATTGTTTATTAAACTTATTTTATGAAAAATATAATTATTTTAAACTTCCTAACACGTGTGTTTTACGTTAACAAAATTCAAAAAACAAATGCATTACCAAGTAGTCCAAAGCTGGAAAAAATATTAATTTACCCTAATATAGGTTGAATTACATTAATAGTCTTTATAGTTTGAGATTTGTATCATTTTAATTCTTGACTTTTCAATTATGACATACTAGCCTATTATCCATGCTATGCACGGAATAATTATAGATATTTATATTTGTGTTAGATTTTTTTTAATATATAAGTTATGTTTTTAAGATTTTTTATAAAAATAATTTAATAATTTTATCACTAACCATAGTGTATAGGAAAAGTTGAAAAGGGTACTGCAGTAACTATACATGGGTTGTATCTATAATTATTTGTATGAGAGAATTTTAAATGCTGATCAGGAAATTTTGACCAAATCAATAAATGCAGGTATGTGGAAAGACATGTGGATTGAAAAAAATTAATAAATCCTGATCAGGGAATTTTGACAAAATCAATAAATGCTGAGATTTTTTTTTTAAAATAAAAAATTTAGAAAATTCAAATTGGGATATTGGAGCTCCTACAGGCCTTGGGGTTACAAACTCCCTTTTTCTTAATATATAGTATAGATTTGAATTTAAATTTTGAATGTTGTTCCAAATAAAGAGAATTGAAGATACCATTACTCAATTTCAAGGGCAAAGTCATCAATTTGATAAAATATAAACTAATTTGACAAAAATAAATATTAAAAAAAGATTTTTAAATTTTAAAAAGTTATTTCTACCCATCAAAGATAAAATTATGTAAAATTGATAAATCTTTTACATATTTATTTATTTATTTGTTTATTTACCAAATTAATTTTTATTATGTGTTTAGATAATGATCATGTAACAAGCGGTTGTTTTTATTTTCATTACATTAGTTTTTATTTTTTCGAAAGTCAAATATGATGACCACTTTGATATCATTATTAAACCAATCCATTAAATATAAACATCCAAAACTAAAAATATTTCATATACTAAATGTATCGATTTTTATCAATTTTACATAATTTTATCTTTGGTGGGTAAAAATAATTTTTAAAAATTCAAAAATATTTGTTTGACATTTATTTTTGTCAAATTAGTTTATATTTTATCAAATTGACGACTTTGCCTTTGAAATTGAGCAACAGTATCTTCAATTATTCTTATTTGAAACAAGATTCAAAATTCAAGATCAAATGTGTTATAATTGAAAAGTCCGAGATCAAAATGACACGAACCACAAATTATAGGAACTGTTAATGTAATCCGTCCTAGAATATATTTGCATTAATTACGTAATATTATCGTCAAATGAAAAATTGTAATACACAAGTAAGTTATTATTTATCTCATAAGATTTTACTCCTTTTTTTTTAATTACCTAATTAATTTAGAGTATTTTGTAGATAAAATCATGTATTATTTAGAAATTATTGAATTATTACATTGAAAAAATTATTAGATGAAGAAGGTTGAAAACATGGATATTGAATTGGGGAGGTATCGTGGGTAGGGTGTGCATAGTGTAGTTCGAACGATTTGAGAGTAAAATTATAAGTCGAATGACGGGTTAGCGGATTGACAAATTGCAGTTTGGGCGATTTTTGGTGTCGGAGAATTTTCAAAATGGGTTTTTAAAATTTATTGTTTAGTTTTGGGTGTTTTAAACCTTACATGTTTTTCTTTGGAAAACATGAAATAAGCTTGGGGAGTTTGTCCCACATTGGAAAGAGAGCAAAACATTGAGCACTTAATAAAGTGCTATACGAAATATTCTTTTGAATATGGTATTATAGAATGGATACTAGTGTACATGCATTCACACCGCAAGGATGGTGAAGCACCATCCGCACACGTGCGCGCGCGTGGCTTGGGCAGTAGGCTGTGTGG